TTAGAGGTTTAGGGTTCAGGGGTTTGGGGTTCAGGGGTTTAGGGTTTGGGGTTTGGGGATTGATAGGCTCCGGTGAACGTGGGTGCCTGAAGGGTTTACGGAGTTCACAAACCCCTAAACCGTAACCCCATATAAACCCTACACCCTTTCTCTAAACCCAACCCTATAAGCCGAACCCCTACATGCTTCATAAACATAAGCCAAATGCTATCAAGGTTTCTGGTACATGGTTCGGGCTTTTTGGCTGCTATGCGGGGTGCTGAGGGGTCAGATGTTGTGGAGCGATTTCCTGGTATTAATACTCTAAGGACGAGGGCTTGTAGGGAAAATCTTGGTCATACTTGCCTTATGCTCTTACGCCTAGGGGTTTAGGGTTTCGGACGTTCATCAGCAATTGTGGCTGTCTGATCCAGAATCGTGCATTTTCGAATTGCACATGACGAACAACGAAGCTGTAAGCCCGATGTTCTATATAAATCTATTCCCAAGCCCAAGCCCTGAACTCTGAACCTTTCAAGCAAAGGTAACCTGAAACCCCGGCCAGAGTGTGAGTAGAACTGCAAGCCGGCCTATGAGTGCATGTAAGAGCAAACAGCACACAAAGCATAGGGGCCTTCATAATTAGACTAGGGCTTGGGGGGTAAAATGTAGGGGCCTTAACAGAGAACCACCCTTATTTTTGCGATACTTAGAACGACTATATTATTCCGACCCCGACACATGAGCCGCCCTAAAACTCCCTCGCACAGACTCTCTTTCTTCATTTTGGGGTTTAGGACCTGTGGTTTAGAGTTTAGGGTGCGCCACAGTTCGGGATGGATTGGCAGTCGGTGAAATTGAGGGCAGAATTCAAGTTTGGGCTCAACTGAACCCCTGAGTTTCGGTAAACTCCAAACCTCCGCACATCCTGGATGTCCCCGCAGTTCCCTCCAATCCTGACAACCATCCAATCCCCTGAACTCCTAGCACGACTTCTATCGCCTACACAGAGTAAAGCAGTGACTTAACAACAAATACCTGCTAATTTTTATTTCAGGGACAAAGGCTTTTTTATTGTACTCCCTTAAACAGCCCCTACAGCTGCTAGTGCCCTCGACCCTGAGAGGTTTACACTCCTACGCGCAGGTTCCAAACTCTCCAACACCCCCCCCCCCTCCCCCAAGAAGCGGTTTGCCCGCTTATGGCATTGGGAGAAAGTGTCGGGGTTTAGCATTCGCACTTTGCTACTCAGACTTGGGGTGTAAATTGTTGGGCTTAAGATTTTTGGATTTCAGGATTGGGTTTAGGGTTTAGGGTTTGGGGTTTGGGGTTTAGGGTTTACGGTTTAGGGTTTAGTATTCAGATATATCGGTCTCGAAGCACACCAACCACCGAACGTCCCCAAGTGCTGTCTCCGGTCTTAGGTTCCTGGGGGCCTGGCTTGCAGTGGCGCTCCAGTCCACCATGAGAACTACCTGCCGGCTTCCTAAACCCTAAACCCTCATAGACCCCAATGACCCTTGAGATGCTGTAGACTCTAAACCCTAAACCCTAAACCCTATTAGGGTTTAGGGTTTAGGGTCTATAAACCCTATAAACCCTCATAGACCCTAAAGACCCTTAAGACGCTGTATAGACCCTAAACCCCATAAACCCTACAGGATTTTCCGACTTCTCTTTTTCAGGGCCTTCAGATTCCAGGCTGTGGGTTTGGTGCTGTTTTTTGGGGGTGTTGGAAGGTGTTTCGGGGTTAGGGGTTTCAGGGCTCAGGGGGGGTTTAGGGGTGTAGGGTTTATGAGTTTAGGGGCTTAGGGTTTAGGGTTTGGGAAGTTTAGGGTTTAGGGTTTGGGAAGTTTAGGGCTTAGGGTTTAGGGAACAGACCTAAGCAGCGAACATGCGATCCCGTACGTCTTCTCGGGATTGATGGACGCTACGGACCAGACCCATAACCCTTTGACGAAGTCCCTCACGCAACCCTAAGCCCTATAATCCCTAAAGCCTAAACCCTAAAGCCTAAACCCCAAACCCTAAAACTATTGACGAAGTCCCTCATGCAACCCTCAACCCGAAACCCTAAAGCCTAAACCCAAACTTTTTGACGAAGTCCAACCCTACAGCCAAAACCCTAAAGCCTAAACCCTAGGCCCGGAACTCTAAAGCCGACCTCTGCCTTGAACCTTGAGCATTCAACTTGCGCCCACTAAGGCCTATCCCACACTACCCATACGCCCTAAAGTAGTTCCTTTTTCGGGTTCATATATAGAACCCTACAAGGTAACCCCCAAAAGGAACTACTCTAGGGCCTATGGGTAAAAAGCCCCGAACCTGAAAATCTCCAACCTAAAGCCAAAAACAGTCCGAAGCCCAAAGCCCTTACAACCACAAGCCTCAAGCTAAACTCCAAAGCCACAATCCTGAAACCTCAACTTTAAATTCAGAGGCCCCCTTCCCGAAACCTGGGTTTGGGGTTGTGCGACTTTAGGCCTTTAGGCTTGAGTTTTTTGTTGAACTCCGTTGCTCCAGGGCCAATTCTAGCGCTTGTCCCAGGGTTGAGGGTTTATAGGGTTTGGGTTTTGAGGTTCCGAGCTTAGGGATTAGGTTTCAAGGTTCAGGGTTTGGGGTCTACCTTAACCTACCAAGACCCACCTTTTTTGTAGGTTCTTATTAAGTAAAAGCCCTAATAGGGAATTTATTACAGGGACCCTACAAAAAAGTAGGTTTTGGGTTCTTAAGGTCTAGGTTTTGGGGTATAGTTTTCCCTAAACCCTAAACCCTAAACCCTAAAACCCTAAACCCTAAACCCAGGGTCTAGGTTTTGGGGTATTCTTGTTCTCAATCAGACATCACCTCCGCGAGACTCCGCGGCGCCACACGTCCAGCAGAAACGCGGAGGCTGAGGACCTGCTCTACCCTACGAGTCCTTGTGCCCAAAGGGTTTAGGGTTTAGGGTTTAGGGTTGGTCGAGCCCGGTCGAGCGGTCCTTCATCATGGGCGTTTGAGTTTGGGGCTCTGATACGGAGGCAAGGTCCGGGTTCTGTCTTTCCTTTCACTTCCATAGCCACGAAAGCGAACAACTTCTTGTGCGCGGTAGGCTTCTCAGGCATTTGGGCTTGGGTATTGGGAAGCTTAACATAACAGAGTGTTAAACTGAACAGATCATGCGTATAAACGCGGGTTAAGGGTGAACCCCTATAATTTAAGCCTTGCACACCTCAACCCCTCAGCCAGCCTAAATGCAAAACCCCAAACCCTGAACACTCATCCTAAACCTTTGATGGCAACCCGTACCAAATTCACCTATAGTCTCACTTGCAGCTCCTTTTTTGGTTTAACCAATTCTATATATAGGATCCTATAAGGTAACCCCAAAAAGGAATTACAATGGAGACTATAGGCAAGGCTCAATGCAACGAAACGCGAAGTAAAGCGCCACGAAACGACGCCTCCGCCAAGCGAAATGAGCTGCTCCCGGCATCGTTCGTTGCTTGTGGCAGCTGCAGGCCATTGTTTGCCACCTGACGTTTAAGTCAATTCGAGGTATATAGGGCCTGGGCCCTGAAATAGAATGTATAGAATCTTGAACTTGGGGCTTTCTAGGTTCTAGGTATTCCTGGCGTGCCTGAATGGTTAGGCAGTCTGATGCCTCAGACCTACGCCAAACACTTTCCGCGCCTGCTCCGAGCCGTCATCTGCGGGCCACAGCAACAGGCTCCAACGTTCGCCATTGTCTACCTTCCAGAACTGACGGCTTAGGTTCTGAGTTTTTTTGTCAAAATACGGCTTGCCTATCGATGGTATAAGGGTCGAAAATGCAAACACCCTTCCGTTTAGATCTTATAAGCATATAGAGACAAAACAAAAAAACGTCATGAAAGAGAAACTAAAGATCCAGGAGCCACAATGCTGACCCAAACTCCCAAACTCGGTGCCTGGTTTTTCTGACTGCCTTCTTGTGACCACGTAGGAGCTTCTGATAGCACCATCCTCAACGACAAACCTTACCAATCCAACGAAATATCTAGCGTCTCAAGACCACCCAGAATGCTTCATGTGCCCAAACCAAGTACCATTACAGTGTGCCGGGAATCTAGAACAACAATTTGAGCAAGATTGCCATGCAATCTTG